AGGCAAGGAGCAAGCAATTAGGTTAATGGAAAATTCATCTGTTTCTCATTATCTGGAAAGTGTATGCATGTAAATATTTCTTTAAACTAGATCTCAGCTGTCGCTGACTTCTTCTCCGGAGACTGCAATGTGCCAGCATTGCCAAAGGAGAAGCTTACTGTTGCCTTGTGTTCACAAGGAAGTCCAACTGGGCCTCATTTCTTATGCCTAGTTCCCCACACAACAGTACTCTGAAAAAGGACATCAGAAAATGGAAAGATAGCTCTTGTTCCTTGATAGGTAGAACCAATATAGTTAAAATGGCCATACTTCCAAAACTGCTACAGATTTATCGCAATTCTAATCAAAATACCAATAGCATTCCTAAGAGAACTAGAGAAACAATCCTAAATTTCATGTGGAACCAGAAGACCTAGAACAGCAAAGGCAATTCCAGGCAATAAAGGGAAAGGCAGGGCCATCACAGTCCTGGACTTTAAATTATACTATAAAGCTGCATTGATAAAACAGCATGGTATTGGCCAGAATAGAACAAAACAAAGAAACAAAAAACCAAAACAGACTTGTGGCTCAACGGAACAGAACAGAGGATCAGAAAAAAGCGCAGGCACACTCAGCTACCTTGTCATTGACAAAGTGGCCAAATAAATACTTTTTGTAGAGGAAAGACCTCTTTAACAAATGAAACTGGAAAAGCTGGCTATCCATATGCCACAGATTGAATTTAGACTCATATCTCTCATCATGTTCCAAACTAAAATCAAAACGGATCAAAGACATAATTATTAAAACAGAAATAGTGTGCTGGGAGACAAAATTAGTAAAACTCTATAGGCCACAGTTGTACGCAAAGCCTGAATAGAACCCTGGTTGTACAAGACATACAGTGGTACACCAATTAACAAAGTTTGTCCTAAAAATTGGAAATGGTGGCCACATTTCTGTTTGTGTGGGACAGATGGCCGAGGTCATGTTTGTCACCTGATGCAGAATGTGCAAAGAAAAACAAAATTTTGCCAAACATTTCTGTTTGTGAACTAAATTGTTTGCAAACAAAAGTGTTCATGAACCAAGGTACCACTGTAATAACAAAAGTCAACAAATGGTATTTATCAAATTAAAACACTTTTGCACAGCAATGGAAACCAAAATCTAGAATATATAAAAACTCAAAAAAATTAGATGCTCCAAATTTAAAGACCCAATCAAAACACAGACATCTGAAATGAATAAACACTTTGCAGATGAAGTACAAATAGCCAATTAATACATAAAATTGTTCACACAATAGAGTACTACTCTGCCATAAAGGATAAATTTAAATCATTTGTAGGAAAATAGGTGCATATTGAGACTACAGTATGTGTGTATATGTGTGTGTGTGTGTGTGTTTATAT